GACAGGCCGATAGTTTGAATCATCTTGTAGGGCGCTCTGTCCTCGTCCTCGTCATGCGTCTGGGCAGGTTTATCTGTGGGGTGCAGACATCAATAATAAATAAATGAAGTCCCAGAGTAGCCAATCTCCGTTAATTTTATGTGAGCAAAATATCTAAATCCATTTGTCTCTTAAGAATCTATACTGGAGCATTATCCTCTTATCTGGTGGAAATTGGGAGTGGGAAGTGTGACTGTATTTGCGTTTCTCTAACAGACAGTTTTAATGAAAGAGTGACTGTATATTGAAGCTTCAGACAACATACAAGAGACAAAACGGTATTAGATCTACCTGCCCAGTTCCATCACCCCACTGACAGCTGTAGTGGAACACAAGTAGCCATGATGTTTAACCTGCCAAGGTGGTTGGCAGGAGGAGTATTTGGAAGGCTTACTGAGTTGTCCCTTGTGTCCACTGTGTTCGTGTGTGCGCGCGTGTGTGTGTGTGTGTGTGTGTATATATATACGCAACTTACCAACGACATACAGCTGAGCCACGCGGTCTTGGATGCTGCAGCTGTTTCCAGCCACACAAGTATATCTGCCTGTGTTATCTGTTGTGACGTCTGCAATCACAAGGGAACCATTGGGCATCTTCTGGATCCTGAGAGATGGAATGACAATTTTGAGGAAACAATCTTTTGCACCATTCTAAAGGATCCTGTTAACTTTCAATCCATTGCATTCAGATCAACTATTTTTTTTTAAAAATGGAGATGGGTGTATTGAAACAGCGAGTGGATAGTGGGGTGTACTGTGTATGGTAAAATGTTTCACACACGCTCTATTTTTGCAGGCTGGACTCAAAGTAGTGAACATATCTTTCTCTGGAGGGAGTCTCACTGTCTTCAGAAGTCCCCAGTTACACCACAAGAAGCCACTAGATTTATTGCTCATCACTTTTGTTTTGAATAGTCCCTAGTTGGGAGAGAAGTCACTCAAGATTTGAAGCCTTTAAGTCTAGTGGACAAAGTCATGATATTGGCAACGATGAGTAGCCGCTCACTTTGTTGCCTGCACTAGCTCTGCCCCATCACCGTGGTAGTGAAAGCTATAATCGGCATTTGTATGAGCATAACTGTCCCTCAAAATGCTGTGATTTGAACAACAATGTCGCAGGGTATTAAGTGTATTTTAATTTCGCTGGTGAACACAATTTTAATAATTTTTTTTAATTACGGATGCAAGTCAACTTTTCTCGAGGATTTTTTTGTACTGATTCCAACCCTCATTTTTTCTCTAGCACATAATCACAACAACAACAACAATAATAAGACTAAGAATAATAAGAAGAACAAGAACATAATATATTTAGTAATATTTATGAATTAAAGCTTAGGTTCAGCAACAGGTCGATTATTTTTTTCTGAAACATCATAACTATCAATTACAACATATGGTAAAATCAATATTATGCAATATTTTATAGGTCAAACATGAACATCTCTCGAAAACCCGAAGTGCTCGAAAAAAAATAAAGCCCTCTCTGATTCATCTTTGCTATTGACCAGTGTTTCATTTGTTTATTTTGACTAAAGAATGTCAAAGACCATATATTAAGACCTCTACGAAATGTTTTAAATGTTTTGATATTTTATTAGTGAATGTAGATTAAAGCCCCCATTTGATGCACTGTGCATTAATTAATACAGTTCGTTGATGAAAGCTACAGTGTGTAAAATGCACTAGCCATTTTCTATACTAAAATTAACGTTATATTGTTTTTGCTCAGTAATTATTGTTCCACGTTTGAATACTAACGTGTATTTTGAGACCATAAAATGAGATCACTTTGCGAAAGGAAAGTAATCAGGAAAGTCGATCCTTCTGAATGTCCAAACATTATCCATCATGACTTATAAAGATGCAAAGATTAAAGTCGCTCTCCTAAATTGCTGATTGTAGTTACCTTCTGTTCTTACTGATGTCCAGCGTCTTGTCTTTCACCATCCAGTGGATATGAGGCTCAGGGTTGCCGGTGGCCTGGCAGTGTAGTATTGCCGTGTGGCCCTGGTACACTGTCGTATTCTCAGGCTCCACTTTAAAGCGAATGTACACTAACAGTGCACATGAAAAGACACAGACACACACACATACACAATACACTATCTTAAGTTACTCTTAGTTCTCATGCGGGCACAAACTAAAAAGGCTGTGGCAGCTGTGGTTGGTCGCAGTCACACTCTGGTGGCCAAATGTAATTCATTACTAGGCTGTAAAAAGACCACCAAGAGCCAGTAAATGTTGCCGCTGATTGAGAACGATCAATGAAGGTTTCCTCATGAAAGCACCCTCAAATATACTCGAAACCACAACCACTTGCAACATAGGAGTGGTGACTAATGTGGTCGTGCCAAGTTCTCTTCAAGCTCCCTGCTTGCACAATAATGAAGGAGCATTTTACCTGCCACTGTGAGGGACACCAAAGCTCTGATCTCCCCCTGGAGGCTGTTGGAGGCGATGCAGGTGTAATTGCCAGCGTCACTGCGAGTGACTTTGGAGAAGTGAAGTTGGCCGTTTTTCTGGTCCACATGGGGTGGAAGGTCTCCTCCGTCTGCAGGGGGCGGCAGAAGACAGGGGACATCAAAAACAAATGAATGTGTCTTCATTTTCACTCATACGACAGCTGCAATGCAAACAATTGATGAAGCTCATTTGGTCAGAGACGACTGCATTTCAGGCATCGTTCACAATCGCTAGATTTATATACACTTAAAAGCATCTCCTTGTTCATCTGTGAAGAAGACTAGTACATTGAGAAAACCCCGACAGGCATGGGGGAGGACTTGCAATTCCTTGCTTGTAAGGTTGAGTGCATAAATGTATATCTGAGAGCTACTTGTTTCATTTCCTGAGAGCTTGTTAAGTGATAGTGAACTGGGACAAATGGAGGCAATTTTGTTTATTATCATCGCTGTCCTGTCTTCAGCTGAATTTTCCATTTTGACACGAGTTGGGTACTGAGATCTTCGAGCACACCTGCTTTAGTCCAACGGATGGTGGGACTTTCTCTGCCTTTAGCTAAGCACTGGATGGTGATCTCATTATCCAGCTCCAGGCACTGGGAGGGCTGTGGTGTTGGGGTAAACTTGAGCTTCTCTGAAACAAGTCAAAACAACACACACACACACACACACACACACACACACACACACACACACACACACACACACACACACACACACACACACACACCTGTATTACACTCATGGTTGACACAAAGGGGCAGCATGTTTCAAGCATTTTATAAAATCGCTGCACCTTAAATCAGTGACAAATTTCTTTCATTAAACATGACCATTTTTACTTTTTGAACAGTCCCTTTTGAACTCTGAAATATTAATAATTCAACAAAATCAAATGA